CTCTTGATTCAATCAGATTTAAGCTTAAATCAAAAGGAAATCCGCTCAAATTAAGAGGCCTTTGGTTCTTGATTTAAGCTTAAATCTGATTGAATCAACAGTATTTTTTCCTGCCGATGTTTTTAAGAGTCTGGACTCTAAATCCAATGCGTTTTTTTCCCTGTGTAATGCTATTTTCGAGGCATTTTTTAAAAATCTCTCATTCACAGTATCACTCATATCGGAGTCGCCTCAGGAAAGACTCTGGATGCGGCCCTAATTCTGAACCTGTCTTGAGGCTTATTTGGACTTCATTTTGATAAAAGGAACTACAATTTCTGTCTCATCAATAAAACCACTTATGTGCACGGGGAAGCTAATGGTACATACGTTGTTTTATTTCTGAGCCAGAAATTGCAGTTCCTAATCGCAAAATGAACTCCTTCTAGGGTTGATAATGGCCTTTAGTAAGATCAAAAGATAGAAGCAGAGCGACAACAGGGCTGCCAACTGTGACAACTGTTGCGGTTCGAGTATAAATGGTCAGGTTAACACCCCTCCGATTTTGCAATGATTTATCATTCAGCGCTATTAGTCGCGACGGAACGGGCACTGGGGAATTCACCCAGTTCTCAAAGCCACAGTGCTCATGAATATGCTGCTTAGGTCTGAGCGTACAGTAACTACTCAACGCTTATAAGAAACTATTGCAGCTGAAATTCGAACTTGGGAGGGTTTTATGGTTTTCTCCAGGAAAGCTTCCAGTTAAACCGTCCTCCAGGACACAAATAAAGCACCAGACTTTGTGAGTACAAATTAATGTTCAAACTTTTCCATCACTCTTCATTCAGAGCATGGTGAATGTTTAGATGATTTATCTTAAAAAATAAAGGACTTGTAAAAACTTTACAACACTGTATAGTTTTTAGTTGCTAAGTGATTTCTCCCTGCTGTTCTGTATATGCTGTTGATATATAAAAGGTTATTGCGATTCAGTTTGGTTTCCTCCGGTATTTGAGATTATTTATTTACTGATTAGTTTAGCTATTGAAAATAGCTCCAGGACTATTAGAATAGACAAATTGGCAAGGTGCAAAAGGAATCAGAATTTCAAGTAAAACACAATTTATACAACCAAAACTACTGAGAGTAACTTTTAAGCAAGGTATCATCGTTTATAATGCAAAAAGTTAAATGTCTCTCTCATAAAAAAACATTAATCTACAAGAGTTAAATCACATTCTAAACGTTAAAATTACTGTCTGTGCTGTCAAAAAGTGAAAATGATGACATTAAACTTGACCTTTGGCTCAGCTGCTGCACGTTGTACTTACACTTTGAAAAACACAGGCCTCACTGGAAAAAAACACATTGGATCTAGAGTCCAGACTCTTGAAAATATAGACAGGAAAAAATACTCTTGATTCAATCAGATTTAAGCTTAAGTCAAAAGAAAATCCGCTCAAATTAATAGGCTTGGTTCTTGATTTAAGCTAGATTCTGATTGAATCAAGAGTACTTTTTCTTGTCGATGTTTTTAAGAGTCTGGACTCTAGATCCAATGTGTTTTTTTTTTTCCAGTGAAGCGGGTGGTTGCAATCGACAAGGGAGGTAGGTAACAGACAAACTAACATCCCTGTGTATTCTTTGTCTTTCAAAGCACGAAGTTCCCTCACACTTTAAATCGAGCGACGAAGACAAACAGAGAGCTGTAGTCGAAAAACTTAATAAGTCCTAGTATCTGTATTTAATCACGTTTAGCATGGTTTTTGAATTTAATTAAAGAGAAAAGTGACTTGATTCACGCAGAAATATGCCCAAATTTACCGCTGAGAAGATTTCTTCATGAATCAATAAAGAAAATAATGTTTCTTTAAAGAAGAAAATGTGCTTATATAAAAAGAAAAGTCACTTGCATCGAGCAGAAACTCGCTTTCATCGGCTACATTATTCTTCTTTCAAAATAAAATCTTCTCGACGGCATACTCAAGAATATTACTGCCTAAATCGAGACACTTTTTCCTCTGGTGAATTCACAAATTATGCTTAATGTTATTAAATCTAGATGCTAGAACTTAGTGATTTTTTGGACCGCTGCTCTCTTTCTGTGCCGTAGTAACGTGATTTATTTTGCGAGGAAAGCTCCATACTTTTAAAGAATGCCTGTCATTCTTATTAATATGTTGGAGCGCCTTCAATTTCGTATGATACTGTGCAACACCTCTGTTGTGAAATAGTCGCTTGAGGCGCCGTGGCATGCTGCGGCTTGGCAGGCGAGCGGCCAGCGCCTACAAACCTAACAGGGATACTTCACGCATTGCGCAGTGCGTGAAGTATCCCTGTTAGGTTTGAAGGCGCCAGTGCGCGTCACGTGCTCGCAACACGCTAATCTATGCTAAGCTCTAATATTTAAACTCTCGAAGTCTGCATTTTTCAACTCATGAGTTTGGAACTCTGCTGGATTATTCTCATGAAATTGATGAAAAAAATTGGGCGTTATACGACACATAATATTGCAACTGGAATCAGCCAAGATTTATACATTTTCTGAGACCTTTCACCTCCCCTTCTCTTCTTGAATGCAATTTATCCAATGTGTTTTTTTTCCAGTGTTGAAATGAAATATTGCTCGATGATAAGCTTTCCAAAACCGTCAGTTTGAGCGATTTGATTCAAGTAGTCGGGTTTTTTATTTGAGAGCGGGGAATTCAAATTTTCCGTAACCATACTGGAAAATAAAGCCTTATTAATCTTAGTTGGGATTCTACTCTGTAATTTTCTTCGCGCAAATTGTATTTCACGTGAATTTTCAAAGAGGAAACATGTCAGACTGATGAATAAATTCATACTTCAAAATTTAAAAAAGTTAAAAAATTCACGTGCATGGGAAATTTTTAGAATATGGACGCGTTTTGCCCGTGCAGGACGAACATCATCAGCGACATTCCTGAGCGTTTCTTCGGAGTTCGGTCTGAATGGACGAAACGCGTCCGTATTTTAAAGATACGACGTGAGTGTTTTAAATTCTTCACATTTTAATAAAGTTTGTGTGGGAGGGGGGGGGGTTCCTAATATTGTTATTCAAAGGTGTACCTTGTCTAGTAGTCCATTGTGAATATATTTGGATCGCATCTAGCAAAAAGAAACTGGCGCAATTACAGTGTTGTAAAAACGTTGCTACTTTACAATTATCTGAAAAATCTTCCAAAATAGCAAATGGTGTCTTACTTTACACCAACGAATTGTTAATGTTAAAGGAAAATAATTGTGTGAATTTTAATACAGTACACATGTTAAATATTTTCAAAAGAAAAGAAAAAATTGCACGATTTTGAAATCCCTGCATGTAATTGCGGTGGTTTCTTTTTGCTGAATGGATCGCGTTAAACAGAAAGGAACCAAGCCACATCAGTTATTGTCAAATTCAACAGGGTTCATTTTTTACGAGAGAACGTCTGTACAGATTCCCTTGAAAATTTTAAGAAATTTACCTTGTATTGTGGAGAAAATTCACTGAAAGCACAAAAATCCGCACAACCGTTTTCATGTAAAAAAATTAATCTGCCCGATTAAATTTGACAATAGCTGATGTGGCTTGGTTCCTTTCTATTTAACGAGGTTCGAAATGTGATCCATTGAAGTGTACTCCATTTTTCTATGCTAAGTTGGCAATCACGACCGAAGAAGATGCTGACAAACAGTAAACACGACTTTTCGACTGCAAAATACACGGAAATGACCCCGGCAACATCTCTAAAAACACGACGAACTGGAAAAGCCCCGTCGTGGGACAGCGCTCACGTGTGGCAAGTAAACTTTGTCATCAAAAGTTCGCGTAAAGTTGAGCGGGAATCCGTCGAAGAGACTTTCATGGATGTCGGTGCGGAGGATTCACAGAAATTTCTGCCGCAGTTCAAAATGGAGTACGGGACTTTTCACCGAAATTTGGTGACGGTTTGTTGCTTTCAGTACTTAGGAACAAAAGTTTTTTTGTGAAAAATTGAAACATTGAGATATGGCTCGTCCCTGATAAGTTTTCTTTTTCGGAGCATCGGCTTGCAATTTGTGTTTACGCTTGAAGCAGAGAGTCCTTATACTTATTTGAAAGAGCCAAGAAAGAGGAAAAAGAAAAGTCGTGGTGACTGGACTGTCTGGCTATATCTACGTGATCCTCAGAAATGTATAGCCTCCCAGACGAAAGAACTTAACTCCATTCAGAGTTTCCAAAGATAACTTAAATAATCCAACTTTTTACAAGAATATGACTGCAGGGTTCCGATTCAAACTTTTGCTGCCTTTGAAGTGTAATCAGAATGAGTTTCACGATAGTCAGTTTGAGTCTCACGATAACAACGGTGAGGCTCATAAAGTCCTTCCCTTAATTTTCTTGTTTTGCCGGCTGAAAATGCGGGTGTGATCCTTGCGAAACGGCCCGGGCTTTTTACTTTATTTTATGTGTTTCTTTTTATTATTTGCGGCCTCAGTCCCGTTTTAAGTTGTTGTTACTGGTGTAAGTATTTCGGGCCGATTAAGTTCTTTTTCTATCAAGTAATCAGAAAGTATGAGTGGATTTTCATTTAAAATTGCCTGAAGATATCCAAGTGGATGTAAAATATGCGGGTGGAAATTTTGCAGTGAGTGCATACTTACTGCAACTGTAGAAAAAATTCCCTTTAGACAATTGAGGTGCTTCAAGAATAGTACGAATTATGTGTAGAATTATAGGGCTCATATTTTTCCAATAACTAAATTGTACGCACATTACATCTCCGTGAAGTAACGATGCGTTTACGTTACCTTACGTTATACATTACTTTACGTTCTACGTTACTCTACGTTATACGTTACTTTACGTTATACGTTACTTTACGTTATACGTTACTTTACGTTATATGTTACGTTTGATGAAAAAATCTGTCAAGTAAACCGTGTTTCTCTTCAGAGACAGCTGATACAATTCAATCATGAATTCCTTCATTCTCAGACGTGGCATCAAAACGGAGACAAAAAGTTCAACTTACCGATAAATGAATAAGGAGGCCCCAATCAGCACCACTACAGCGAAACTTAAAACCATCGTTATGATTGCATAGATTGGAAAAGCTGAAACACAAATCACACGGTTGGTAATTATTCGGCTCAGAAAACATGGGACAAAATGGGTTGAGCATAATTATTCCAGTCACGCACTGGAAGAATCATAAAATCACCATCACATTATTCTGAAACTTAGGAGACCATCTGAATACCAAGCTTTTGCGTTTATTCAATCTTCCGTACGGGAGACCACGTAAGTACCTCAATTTGCGACATTTTAGACTTTCAGTCATACTTTATTTTTTACTTTATACTTTCTTTTAAACTAGACAAAGTATTTCCTTAAAACTGTTCAATTTTTCTTTTCTAATAGTACATTTTCTGTATATTCAAGCTATAAAGTTCACTGGTTCCTTTTCGTAGAATTTATTTTTTTTTTTATTTTTTTTAAGGAATTGTATTTAAATAAAGCGTCACTACTACAAGTATTTCCTTGTATCCATCTACATGGTTTAAAACTAAAACTAAAAGAATTGCATTAAATTTACAGGGTAACGTTAGATAATGCGATGATTAAAATAAAATATGAGCGGAGATTTTGAAAAGCCGCAATAGAGCTGCATGATGTCGCTCTTTCGCCATCGATACAGCTCCTAATGAGTTTGTTGCTGATATTATCAAGTCGTAATAAAACTAAAAATGAGGCAGGAAAAGGATGCAAAGATGAAAGGCAACGATGGATGAGCTATACTATAACGACTTCAGTGCAAGCGTTTATGGGACATAAACTGTGAGTAAATAACCGACCACAATGTTTGTTTGCACTTTGAATTTGAACGATAAGGCCATGCGGATTATTAACATTCATTTGAATATCATTGGTCATCGGTGGCCATCAGTAGCGTGGCGTGAATTGCGATTTATCGATTGTTATGCCATTTAAACCTATGGTAAAGAATCGATTATTAAAGGTGTTCGCTGCGAACACCCTGTTTATCGATCCTTTTCCACAGGTTTAAGTGGCATAACAATCGATATATTGCAAAGAACGCCACGCCATTGGTGGCCATTCATCTGTTTCTACGTCACGACTGCTGCTTTGTGTCACGAACTCAGCGCAAAGTAAGCATTCCGATAGCACTGTCTGTAAACATGTTTTCCGGATGCAGGATTCCAACATTTCCGAGAACGTGACAGCTCTCCGATCCTCACTAGTGGCGTGGCGCGCTTTGCGATATATCTATTGATCTGCCATTTAAACCTACGGCGAGGAATCGATGAAAAGGGTGTTTGCAACGAACACCTTGAAATCGATTTNCCTCGAATCAGTTCGCTTGCTTCCGCTTATATATGCATATTTTAAATCAGCGCGCCCCATTCTAAGGTTTTTTTAAAAAAAACCAAGAAACGTAGACTCTTGGTATTCATTACACATAAACTAGCGAGCCCCAGAATGAGAAACAAATTTTAATCATTATTATTGACGGATTAGTAAACTTTTTACACGCTTTGGAAAATCTCAGAAGTTCGCGGTAGTCACTTTTCGGTAAGGAACTAGGGGACTCGGTTATTGTATCGAGGGGGGGGTCGAAACGATCGCAAAGGCGGTATACTACGTATACGCGCCAAAAAATTCGCACAATGCTTTGGTTTTTAACGAGAATCCGTCTCATCAGATATATACATCAGCGAAGCAATCCAGATTCAATCCTGGTGGCTGCCACGTAAATTTTAACAAGGTCGCCGTTTCTCAACACAAAATTTCGGTTCAAAGGAAAACCTAACACAAGAAAAATTAACTGACAGCTTGTGTTAAACCGTGTTTCAATCCCCATACCAATACAAAATTTCGGATACTTTTCCTCGCTGTGTGATCTCTAGATGCTGGTTTAACTGCCGCAGCGACGAAGTGTGAAAGATCGATTATGAATAGTTCCCCATTTGAAGCTATGGCAAAGAATCGATTTTTAAGGTGCGCGTTTGCAAACACCCTCTTTATCAACCCATTTCCATAGATTTAAATGACAGATCAATCGATATATCGCAAAGCATGCCACACGATACTGAAGTGCCGTCGTGGTCAACTTTACATCGTAGGAATAAAAACTAATATTCCGAAGTGTAAGTTTTGGCACGTATTGGTTTCGATACATTAAGGTAATAAAATTAGACTGATTCCTTGCACCTGCTTATTGACCCTTTCCCATAGATTTAAATGGCAGATTAATCGATACGTAGCAAAGCCTACCACGCCACTGAACTGCCGTCAACGGTTAACTCTACATCGTAGGAGTAAAAACTAATTTTCCGAGGTGTAAATTTTGGCACGTATTGGGTTTGGATACATTAAGTTAATAGAATTAGACCGGATCCTTAACCCCTTTAAATCTGAGAGAATTGTGGGTTTATTGTTTTGGTTCACCCATGCGACTGAGCCATCAAGACATGATTCCATGATATTCGCCGCCGCAGCTCGAGCACCCCCATAAACCCTACCTCGGAGTGGTGGGGTTTGCAAATAACCCCATCTTATATCCCGGCGAAAATTGGGATCGGCGCCAACGCAACCCTCCATCAAAACAGCGCATCGACAGGGGTGTTGCCGCACAGTGGAGAGAGTCAATCAGAGAGGTCGGACATGCAATTCTTGACTAAAACTGCAAATTTTGGTTTTAATTTCGTCACGTTTTAAATATCAAGGGGTGTCTCTGAAAGTAAATTTTACGAGGAGACCAATGGTACCACTTTCAGAACCTCAAAATTTTTTAGGAACGGAGTTATAGGCGTTTAAAGTTTCCAAATTTTGTCAGACCTCTCCCATTGACTTGGTCCACTGAGCGGCGCGGCTAGGGTGTAGCTTAATTTTGGAAACAGGCATTTTCAACTTGGCCCTCGGCTAAATTTGGGCTATGAGGTCTAAAAAGTAACTTCTCCAAAGGAGCAAAAAAGTAATAAATTTGGACTTAAATAGCAAATTTTGATGTTAATTCCGTCCAATTTCAAACTTCAAGGGGTGCTTATGATAGAAAATTTCACGAAGAAACCAATGGAACCACTTTCAGAACCTCAACGTTTTGTATAAACGGAGTTATGGGCGTTTAAAGTTTCTTAATCATGTCCGACCTCTCCTATTGACTTGGTCCACTCAGTAGCGCGGTTAGGGTGTAGCTTCTCCAAAGGAGAAAAAAAAATTCAAACATTTTGACTTGAACAGCAAATGATGTTAATTCCGTCACATTTAAAACTTCAAGGGGTGCTTTCAAAAGAAAATTTCACGAGAAAACCAATGAAACCACTTTTAGAACCTCAAAGTTTTGTATAAACGGAGTTAGAAGCGTTTAAAATTTCTAAAGTACGTCCGACCTCTCCCATTGACTTGGTCCACTGAGTGGCGCGGTGAGGGTGTAGCTTCTCCAATGGAGAAAAAAAATTTCCAAAATTTTGACTTAAACAGCAAATTTTGATGTTAATTCCGTCACATTTTAAACTTCAAGGGGTGCTTTCAAAGGAAAATTTCACTTGGGAACCAATGGAACAACTCTTAGAACCTCAAAGTTTTGTATAAACGGACTTATAAGCGTTCAAAGTTTCCAAATCATGTCGTCCGACCTCTCCTATTGAATTATGTGAGTTTTCCATTTTACCAGGTTTGATAAAGGTTATTACCTGATTTATTTTTTCGTCCTGGTTATCTTATAACCAGTATAGTATTAGTACCAGTATAATAATAACTCTCCTTTTGACTTGGTCCACTGAGTGGCGCGGTTAGGGTGTAGCTTCTCCAAAGGAAAAAAAAAATTCAAACATTTTGACTTAAGCAGCAAATTTTGATGTTAATTTCGTCACATTTTGAACTTCAAGGGGTGCTTTCAAAAGAAAATTTTACTAGGGAACCAATGAAACCACTCTTAAAACCTCAAAGTTTTGTATAATCGGAGTTATAAGCGTTCAAAGTTTCCAAATTATATCCAACCTCTCCTATTGACTCGATCCACTGCGCGCCGGTGGGAATTGCGCGGTTCCCGCGGGGGAGGCAGGGGGCGGGGGTGGGGACGTGGACCCAATTTACGGGAGCATATTTCATGGGCCATCGAGAGCGGAGGACCCGAGATCCGAGATCGGAATCGGCGAATGCATTTCACCTCGGCGCTCGCGGAGCCGGAAACGGAAATGAGCATAATAGCTCCAGCTCAGCGGAGGAAGTTTTATTCCGCTCGTCACTTGCGTCGATAGTGTGAGCGTCTCCGGTCGAGGCTGCCACGTCTGGAGGAGGAAAAATCCACAAACCCGACGTCGTCACCTTCCAGGCAAAGTATCACAAGTGCCATGCGACGTTTCAAAATTTCCGCCGCCATTTTATTTCTTTACTGAGAAATTGTTGGTTGAATCTGTTTGGAAATTTCACTAAATTTTATCGGCAGCACAAAGAATATTCGGTGAAATTTTCGGACAGCTTCGTTGAACAATTTCTCTGTAGAAAAATATAATGGCGGCGGAAATTTTTAAACGTCGCATGGCGCTTGTGATACTTTGCCTGGAAGGTGACGACGTGTTGAATCGACGATAGCAATATAGATTCAAAAATGAAATGGACCACTAGACACGGTATGAATTTAAGAAATCTGATACATTAGAGCACCTTCATAGACAGAGTATGGCCATTCGTATCTTTTTACTACAGGAAAACTGTTCCGCTTTTTGATTGGTCAACGAGTTTTTAGACTTCATGATGCTCTGACACCGCAATCACACGCTGAATTTGGGAGCTGAATGTGGCTTGAATGTGGAAGTCATCGGCCCGATGCCTGAATTTTGCGCGTGACGCGCAAAATTCAGCAACGATTCTCAGCAACCATCGGACCAATTTTGAATTTGTCTGAACTACTCGAGTAAGTTTGATACACATCTGGATGAAAATAACTCGGATTTGCTAAATTTCAGCCGTTGGGCGATGACTGTTGACTTCCACATTTAGGTGCTAAATTCAGCGTCTGATTGCGGCATTACGGCCGTAAATAAACAAACAAGATAGCGGCTCACCGTAACATCGATAAGAAGCTAAATTTGACACAAATTTCAATTATACGGCAGTAACAATTTAAACTAGTATATCTACGATTAACGAACGGAAAACACACTCAAACATTGTTAAATCGCCTTTCACCTTTATCACAGGAGTATATAAGATGTGCATAACCTCAATCTTGCTTGCTGATAACAGCCATCTTGTTTGTTTATTTACGGCCGTAAGAACATCGTGTCAGCCTATTTTCACGCGACCAATGAGAAACCGGAACAGAAATGGCCATACTCTGTATATGAAGGTTCTCTATGATACATGTTTCTTAACCAGAATTTCACGTAAAAAACTATTCACACAACAAAAATTACTGAAACTAGCTCCTAACGAAGATATTAACGTGTATGTTTCACATTGGTTACAAGGAATTTGAACTGCCCGCTCACAAGAAACTCAAAGCTCTACGTGCCTCAAATCGCGCACTACAACGGTTTCAGCAAGCTTCTCAATCGAGCAAAGTTCATTTCCCACCATGTATTCTTCAAACTATTAGCAATTTGCTATAGCTTAGCCAAAGCGTCAAGGTTGAGGTTGCCAGATTTTTATATCGCGCGATGTGAATCACGTAGGGCATTGAGTTTTCATGAGCGGGTGGTTTGAATTCACGCATCAAAAATCATTAAATATCTTCGTAAGGAGTTTATTTCCGTAACTTTCCTTGGGCGCATCGTGTTCTCCATGAAATTTTGGTTAAGAGACATGTATCAGAATGCTGAAATTCGTACCTTGTCTAGTGGTCCATTGTGGGAAAACGGGATTCAATGGCGTCTGGTGCCGCCCCTAAATTGCGTAACGCTCTGGGGGAGGGGGCCAGGAGAGCGTTAAATATCGAGGATAATTTTTGAGGCTTAAATTTTTCTTCACACTTTTTCGGGTTTAGGATTGCCCAAAAGAAATCCATTTCGAGGTCGAAGTTTCGTCGTATATTCATTTGGATGTGTTTAAAAAGTTTTGGTTATAGGAATCATATGAGGGATGGAATAACGGGAATAACTGAAGGTTTGAAGGGGAGTTGATAGGATTGAGGGCGAAAATAGGATTAACTTGGAATAATATCTTTAACTTCTGAACTGAACCTGGAGCTCCAAATTATGTGCAACGCCTCGGAGAAAATTTAGAACGCGGCGAGACTCGAACTCTTGACACATGTTTTGGAGCCGAAGAGTGAGCTTTGCATATTTCTCGATTTGGCCCGGCTTCTGTTTACCAGATATGTGCTCCTCCAACTGCCACCGAGCTGCTGTCTCCTGTTTCTTCAGGCTTGTGAGAACTTTCCATAAAGTTGTCGAGTTGTTTTTCCTTCGGTCTCGAAACCGGTCCCTTTCCCACTTATTTTGTTTAGAAGATGGTGACGTTTTCCTTTGAGACCCATTCTGCCGTGCTAAAGAAGAACGCTGTATGCACGCTGTATGTACGCTGTATGTATAGACGTTGCCAAATTTCTTTCACTAAAAACCAAATTTACTGGGAAACTTGTGAATATTTTTTTTCAAATTTTTCAGACACTTTTGTACGCAATTCAATCTAAAAATCTGAAAATTTCGAGGAACAATATGCATGAATGTCGTCAAAAATACATGTGTTATCAAAGGAAATTCGGCAACTCTCGAATGATCATACGGCGTTTTTCCTTAGCACGGCAGCATATTAGCAATACACACGGTGAGATGTTGCATGATCCTCGACAACAGCCAATCCCCCCTCTAACTAACTCTAAATCCGTCACTATGGATAATTTGGTCATAGCTTCCATAATAACTGTTCATTTTAGAAACCAAGGATATTCTTATGCTGAGTTCACTCAGAATTCTCTTCTCAAGGTGATTTCATGGCCACCATACGTACTTTGAATCAACCTTGAGACGTGTGTGCACTTACTGTGATTTCCTCTGAAACGCCGCTCGGGGTGGACCGAGTCAATAGGATAGAAGTCGGACTTGACATGGAAACTTTGAAAGCTTATATTTTCAAAAATAAGAAACAAAAAAGTTCGAGAATGGCTCCAGAGGTTTTACGTGAAATTTCCTTTCAGAAACACCCCTTGAAATTGAATTTGTAACGAAATAAACATGAAATTTTGAAATTTTATCCAAAAATTCCATGTCCGACCTCTTCTATTAGCTTGTTCCACTGTGCGCCGTCTTAGATTTTGTTTTTGCATCAACGGCACAATATAGCTGTTTACGCTGAATTAGTCGGTTTCATTAAGTTAGATTAAACAAATTTCGCGAAATTGAAAGAATTTTGGAAACGCCTCATTTTTGGAATTTTCTGATAATGCCCATGGCAAAAAGGGAAAACCTCACAGCTTGAAAAATGAGGGACGAAAAAGAAAAGAAGAAAAAAACACGGATAACTAAACTATTTTACTGATGTAAACCGGTCAACACTGTGTTGTAGTTAAGGCAATCAAGGATTTGGTTAATAAAGTGAAATTCAAGCGATCGAGCCCCGCTAAGGGCGGGGTTATGGGGTTTTATGACTGCGTGAAACATCATTAAACAGCGGAATAAAGTGATTGCGGTGCAGCAATGAGAAAAGTGTGAAATGAGTTGATGAGACAGTTGGGAACTAGAGGATGCGACCGCATTTTGATGCAGGAAGTTGCTCCCCAAAAACGCAAAACTCGATCCGTTTCATAACCTCTCTTCTCGCGGTAATCCGCGAGAAAGTTTGGTGCATTCAAATTGTATCTTTAATGAGTCTGTTGCGCGTGGCGTGCTTTGCGATTTATCGATTGATCGGTCGTTTAAACCTATGGAAGAGTATCGATAAACGGGGTGTTTGCAGTGAACACCTTAATGATCGATTATTTACCGCAGCTTCTAATGGGGAAATATCGATAGATTGCTGAGCACGGCACGCCACTGGATAAAATCGCACGGAAATAACGTTGAGCACGTCAAAAAAGTCTGAAATCCATTCCTTAACGCGCAATCTGTGTAGTTCGTAACACGCTTTAACACCAATATTTAAAAAAACACACATTATATTATTATTTTCCTTTGATAAATTGATACATATTTTTTCCCATCAATTTAAATGAGAAAAATCAATGCAGAGTGTGCAAACATTCAAACTCATGAGTTAAAAAACGCTGACTATGCGAGTATAAATATTGAAGCCTAACAGAGCGGAGCGGCGCGCGGCGTGCTGCCAGCGCGAGAGACTCACTGGCGCCTACAAACCTAAGTGGATACTTCACGCATTGCACAATGCTTGAAGTATCCACTTAGGTTTGTAGGCGCCAATGCGCGTTGCGCGCTTGTACGCGGACTTGTACGCTTGTACTTTGTTACGCGGACGTAAATTACTGGAAAAAACAGGTGCGCGGACAAAAAATCGTTGTCGAAATGTCCTATAACCAGGTTGGGTCTCTCATCGGTCAAACCTCATAGCCGACCACCAAGAAAAACTTCCTGTATACGCGGTAAATTTGAAAGAGCGTGTTTCAAACTACGTGGATTGCCCACTGAGGAATGAAGTACAGACTTTTTTGATGTGTAAAACATGACTTTCGAGTGAATTCACCTTTGGAAAGTATTTTCAATTGGCTGTATCTCTTGCGTGCAACAGACCCATTGTGAGATAGTAAAATACTTAATTCCACGTAAAAAAGTTTTAATGTTTTCTATAACCGTGTAGTTGCAGAGAATATAGTGTTTGAAGAGATTTGTCGGGGAAGAAATATCCATCCTCAAAATGGTAGAGAGTAAAAACTTTTTGTTTCAAGCTATTAAAAAGGACTTGACGTCACTTAATAGAAAATGAATTGCACCAACCAATGCAACCAAGATCAACCCTATAGCTGCCTTAGCTCAAAAGTTACCGCACTAGTCTCAGTTTTTTTATGGGACAGTCATTAATTGAATTCCTTCAGTTTTATTAAAACAGGGACTTGTGCCCTGTTGATGCTATATGCGTCCTTACTGTTCATGTTAGTAACAATGAATAGTACATAGAATTTTCGAAATGAAGTTAGTAAAAACAAAGAAAATTACTCACATCGGCAGAGACTCCCATCAAATCCACACTTGGGAGTGTCCGGAGGGGGTGATGTCCTCCCACCAGGCCAATGGATTTTGGCTCCACTTAAATATTCGACTTTGCTTGTTTTCCCGAAGTAATAAGCCACTACCTGAAACAAACAATTCAACGAGCTCATAAGTTTTTTTTTTTTTTTTTTTTTTTTTTTTTTTACTGTTTCTAAATGTCTCCTACAAGGTGGAATGGGGTCGGACAGCTGCTCCACCCTAAATTGGAAAATTGGAAGAAAAGAATTTGTGTAAAGGTACCAGCCGTTCTGGACGCGCTTCGCGTGTCCGTCACGGGTAGTCAACGGGCTGCACCCCCTGGTCCCCCTTGTTAAAAACATTGCAAAATGAGCATATAAAACCCTTTGAAAATGTTATTGAAATGATTTGAAAATTACTTTACAATTTCATTATTCTTTTCATGTCTTTTGACGCTTGAAAATGTTTTAAAAGTAATCAATGAATTGACTTCGAAATGTTTCAAAAACACCAAGACGTCTCCATAACTTATCTTCTTAACACTTTAAAGTCCTTTTAAAGATATTTTAGTTTTTGTTCCGTAATACAGTAGCAATTCCGAAACATATTTTTGTTTTCAAGATACTTTAAAAACACCTTTTAAGCGTTACGTACGGATAGAGTGCCAAGTGCCTCCTCTCATCGCACTTTTATTCACGGATGGTTGATCTCGGTTCACAATTATGCGAAATTGGAAAACCGTGTATATTAAAACGAAGTTGCGGATTTTCTCTTTCACACCTAGCGAGGCAAAAAGAGGTGAAAAAAATATACGATTGTGAAGTTTTCACAAAGAATGGATTTTTCAGCGAGAACACATCTGTTTAATGGGTGAGTGCGGGCGCAAAGAGCTGAGACAGACGAGTTGCTGATCGTGTGAAGAGAAGACCTGCCAATAAAATTGCGTCTGTACCACACTCAGCGCTTTTATAACGACCGCCCGACTGTGGCAATATCCTCGCGTCCTGATAACCATCGTTTCAGTAATGGAGAATCGACGAAATTGATATTTAACGGTAGGATGAAGACTTATTTATGTTGAGCGCAAAACAATTGCATTTTTTTAAAGAGTTTATTTATTGTAGCCTTCCTAGGAGGAAATATATACAATTATCTTAATGTAATACAATTATCTTAATGTATCGCATGTGGAATTTTGAACGCTTGCATATCTTATGTTTTCAGTAGACAAATACATATGAAGGTTAATCGATATCTATAGATTTTCTTATTTTTTTTTCAGTTAAAAAATAAAGTTCTCAGTAGCGGTGAAACTATTTCTACGGGGAAAATGATTTTTCTGAGGAAAAACAAATATTTCTCCAGGGAAAAAAAAATTCTACGGGTGGATAATAAGTTCTATTCATATCTTTGTTTTGTTTTTTTTTCAGAAATAGTTTTTTTCTTTCGGTAAATATATTTTTATTTCTCAGGGTTAAGGAAATGATGCCATAGATATCGGTAGAAAAATATATCTTTTTTCACAAGATAGCAGTGAGCGCAGCTCCCTCGCAGAGAAATTGAGATTCACAGCGTTTTGTCGTAAATGTTGTTAATTTTCCGCACTCACCTATCTTTGATAACCGTGTCGAGGATGCAGAGAGTATTTATTCAGCCTTTACATTTTTAAGTTGGCCTTTCCATCTTAAAAACACATTTTTCATTAGAATTTTCAAGAAGTTGACTTTCTAATAGCTCTGTATGTATGAATTGCCGCAATTGTACGAAAAACACGTGGTTTTTACAGCCGTCTTGCAACACAATAAATAAATAAATAAGTAAATAAATAGATAGATAAGCATAATTTTGTCAGTTTTCCCATTTAAAAAACCCGTTATTTTTACACGCGACCGATCGCAACCCACCCAGTTGCGTGGTCGAGAAGTTTTTGTACACCTGAACCCTGGTACATGCAAGTAGGACGAATTTTGCTATCTTAACAAAATCAATCAGTTTGTTTAGATTAAAGCGGTTGAATTTTGAAGGAGACTCGATTTTGGGTACTTGGAGTCTACTGCTTCTTTCGGTAGTAACTGATGTGGTCAAGTCCTCCCATTACCTCGATTAACCCATTTGTCCATCACATCATCATGAGATTCGTCCTCAACTTGGATCCGATAAGATATTGCACCCACCTCAGCCGAAATCAACGTAATTCCAGCCATGCAACTATTCGTGGTCCCGTGTAAGCGTGTAGTATACCCTCTTATTTGAAGGCGTTTCTTGGGATCGGTGGAATTTAGAAGATCAATTATTTTCGTTAGTGTCGATTCTGCTCTGTTTGGCGGACATGACCAATTGACCACAGAGTATTCTTTATGGTTCTGAATAAAATTGGCATATGTTTGGCTTCGGACATACATTCTTTCTCTCTTCAGCATTCGTCACTGTCTACGGAACAAGGACCTCACTCAAAAAATTTAGTTTCATTTTCATACAAATAAGACGAGTTTTGCTTTTGCTGTTTCGGCGGGTGACTTCATCTGAAGATTATTATACGAATTTCGAGGGAAACTCTATTTCGAAAATTTGAGGGTTACGGATCTCTTGGCTATCTTGCCGTGCTAAGGAAGAACGCTGTATGAGTCTTCAGGCGTTGCCATATTTTCTTGAATGAAAACATAATTTATTTACGAAAATTGTGAATATTCTTTCACAATTTTTTCAGGCAATTTTGTTGGTAATTTTATCTGAAACTTCTGAAAATGTCAAAGAAAAAAATGCATAAGTTTCTTCAAAAATACATGTCTTATCCGGGGCAATGTGGCAACTCTCGAATGTCCATACGACGTTCTTCCTTAGCGCGGCAGTGCAGTGGCTACGTGCTGTTTGCTTTTCGCTCACTACCGCTGCTTCATCTGTGGGTGGGAAGCAACAGTTTGATACCACCACGTTGTTGAGAACCGGGGAAGCAGCCCTGTTTATTGCATATCCTCACGGGGCTTAACTAGAGCACGTGAACGGTAAATGTAGTAGAACTGCCCTGCCGTGCTAAGGAGGAACGCCGTATGATCCTTCAGACGTTGCCAAATTTCCTCCACTAAAAACCAAATCCACTGGGAAAATTGTGAATATTTTCTTTCAAATTTTTCAAACATTTTTGTACGCAATCCAATCTAAAATATCTGAAAATTTCGAGGAAAAATATGCATAGATGTCATCAAAAAAACATATTTTATCAAGGGAAATTCGGCAACTCTCGGATGTTTTTAAGGCGTTTTTCCTTAGCACGGCAGTGGAGCCGGCGCTGTGTCGCGCGGTCTTACCTCACAGCGAGAGGTAAGAGCTTTCGGTGTTTCAAACCACCAACACCAAGCAAGGTCCCGTTTATGATGATCCACTTTTACACCCTAGCGCGGGCGTCACCCCGCTGGGTTTCACGCCCTTTTGGCAGTTTATGGCGTCGTTATGCCATAAGATCGCCGCCCATCCCGCCAAATTCCCTCGGAAATTTGGCCGCTTGCCTTTAATTCGCGCTCGGATGATAAAGGATTTTCCCGATGCTTGCAACCCCGGCCGGCTCAATTGTTGAATCGATATCGAATCAGTTATCGATTCGATATCGACTATCGATTTATCGATCGATAAATAGCATTGCCAAGATAGGGGTTTATTGATCAAGTTCATTCAATAACGATTCGAGTATCGACCCGCTGGTGCGGAGCTTGGGAAGCGCGAATATTTATGAGCGCAACAGTAGGCTGAGCCCTGAGTTTAAAGGTTGTTTTTCAGGAATGAGGAAATAAAATCTGCGGGGGAAAATATACTGCTTTTTGAGCTGCTTTCATTTTTTTATTGGGCTTTGTTCGACATCAGAAAAGGAAAACTGGCGAAGCCCGTTATTTATGAATTCGCAGTTTGAATACGCTATAAAACATTGCTTTTGTGAAAATATAGGGGGGAAAGTTTTTCGTTTCAGGACGTTTCGAAATTCCTACCACGTTCCGCTTGAATTAGTGGTAATTAGATTAAATTTTGCAGTAAGGAGACACCGTCTCTTGTTCTCCCATAAAAAGACGTAACTGCATCGGGAAATCAATGGCATTTATGTTGTTTCTAAAATGAGCTAGAAATAATGGTTCCCTCTCGCAAAACACTGGAAAAAAGTCGCTTGGATCTAGAGTCCAGACTTTTAAAAACATTTACAAGAAAAAGTACTCATGATTCAATCGGACTTTTTGTTTGAATAAAAAGGAAATCCGCTTAAATCAAGAGGCTCGGCTCTTCGATTCAAGGTACAATCTGATTGAATCAAGAGTATTAATTCTTGTCAATATTATTAAGAGTCTGAACTCCAGATCCAAGCGACTTTTTTCCAGTGAATGCAATCCAATTAATCCGAGACTTTTCGATTGATATTTCTTCACCAACCTGAAAGTCGGGTCTAATAAATGTCATTCCACTTTTTAAATAAAGTTTTAGCGGTAACTTTAAAGCACTGCGAGTATGATTATAGAAATTGTAAGGTGCATATATAGATTTTATTCTCATCCACTATATCGGTATAATACCTGTAGTGAGAAAATGGAGACATCATTTTACACAAGGTGGATCTGCCTTTTTGGTCAATAAATTCAAAGTAAAAAAGCTAATAAATGTGTTACGTCTCTTTCTTTAAAAATGTTTATTATTTTCACCCCCTCAACTTCTCAAACACACCCTTTCTGTAAATAAAGACCGAACGTGTGGAAATCCCTGTCTTTTCACGCAAACTAAGCCATTTTTCACTGCATAGCTTCATCTTATTTTTTTCTTTTAACAGAAGGTTCACTCAAAATTGAAAAGGATTTAACTTTTAGGTAAAGGCTTTCCTTCATTTAAAGAGCCTCCCAAGAATTCAGAACAGCAATTCGTCTTATCTTTTCTCAGCGACTTTAATAATCCGAGCAGATTGGTTTTTATCCCCCCACAACGAGGCTGAGGAATGCTGGCGAGGCAGTCACTTCATCCCTTTGCCGCGCGCTGTCATAACTCAAACATCTCACCTGGCATCCCCTCTATCTACCCTTCACGAACCAAAACAATCTACCGAGGTCTTTGTTTTGATTTCTCAGCTTCTGTAGTAGCAGGAAGCAGTCTCTTTCCC